CCCCCCAAGTCTGTTTTTTTTCCTCTACAGCCCCTCTTCCCTGTTTTTGTCTTCTCACACTTGTGTTTTCTGTAAACAGGGAGAACTGGAGAAGCTGAACCAGTCTACAGATGACATTAACCGCTGGGAGACTGAGCTGGAGGTAAAATAAAACACAAACCACCACGAATCGAGACAGTTTTACCTTCGTCCCTTTAAGGTTTTCCTGTTTGATTTGTGTGTTTTCTCAACCTTTGCTAAGAAACAGTGTCAACACCCTGAGGAACGCCTCGAAAAGAAAAAAAAAATCAGCTTCACATCTGGAGCTGCAGAAATGCCCCTGCAGCTGCCTCAACGTTTATTGTGAAAATACAAATAAAAGCCTTTGTAAGGACGAAAAAGACTCGAAAGTGAAAAACTGAAAAAAGCTTTTTATGTTTTTTTAATTGAAGGTTTGCATTCAGTTAGAGTTGAGCTACTGTTCAACAAAACCGAAACATTCCAGAGCCGAGCCGCAGTTCTTTTATTTATTTATTTATTTCCCTGAAAGTGGGCCTCGTCTGTTTCTCATTAAAGCTCCACTCAGATCCGGAGCTGATGGAGGACCAAAGAAAGGAATTCTAGTGAAGAATCCTGACATTTTTTAAAAACACGTTGTTACTTGTTCTCATTTTAAAACAGAAAACGCTTGCGACTCTTTTAGGAATTCACAGCGAGTAGATGGCTGTAAAGTTAACAGCAAAGAAGCAACACAGAGCTGGAGGTTGGAGGAAGTGCTGCAGGCGCTTTTTCTCCTACAATCTGGAGCTGATTTGTAAAAAAAAAAGTACAGTTGTTTAGAAACATTTCAGGGCCGTGCGCTCATACCACCATCCTCTCGTTTTGCCTCGACAAAGACGTGTGTGTGTGTGTGTGTGTGTGTGTTACAGAGAAACACATAAAGCAGTCAGTAAACGTGCAGTCATGGGAACATGAAAGTCCACCCTCTTTCAGTTCTGGGGTTTTACGATTCACGTCATAAAAGTAAAGATCTGGTTTTTACTGGACTGAAAAGATGCAAATCTAACCTGAAATGAACCAAAACACACAACAGATTCCTTAACGTCGTTATCAGTTCAATCAAAACCAAACCAAAGTGAAACAGCTGTTAGAAGTGAGGACTTTTCTTTAGCAGTGAGACTATCATAGAGGAAATTTAGCTCCACGCTTTGCTCCTTAAGGTTTTCAGTTCTGCACGGCTCTGTCGACTCGTGTTTACTTCGATCAGTTGAGGTCTGGACTGCAAGATGCCCAAAGCATCACCCCTGCACCCCGTCGGCGCTGATGGAGGTGTTTGTGCAGATGTGTGGTTTGGTTTTCTCCAAACGTGCTGCTGTGCATTATATGCAACAGTAAATCCAGCTGATTTATTTGCAACAATTTCCTTCATTTCGAGAGATTTGGAGATCGGCCGATACTTTGATAAGGTCGGTTGAAAAGATCAGCTTCTCATCTGCGTCCACAAAGGTCTGAATATCAGCCACTGTCCCCTTTTTGCTCTGCAGTGAGCACTACGTAACGTCCAGTTAAAACAGGTTTGTTGTTTCAACGGTATTGTCTGCCAGAAAAGTGCAATTGGTGCACCCCTAGTTATGTGTACACATCTCTACTATCTTGTTCCACAATTCAAGAAGTTCATTCGGTGAAACTTTGCTGAGCTGTGTTGCCACATTTACAGGCTTTCTCCTGCAACTCCTCCAAACAGACACACCTGTTGAGCCTCTTCCTATTTGTCCTGTCATGACCTTTAACCTTTAAGCTAACTGAGGCCTGTAGATTCTGTGTGGTAAGTTTATCTTTTGGAGCATTGCGTTGTCTGATCTGGATGGATAAGCATCTCATCAGTGTTGTGAACATATAAACGTAGCACAAAAAATAAGGAAATGTGTGTATGGTAGATTATTACTTTAAATCTTATACCGGTCACCTGAGTGGCTCGTTCTTTGGTTTTTCCGTTTCAAAATAAAATGAGAACAAACAAATAACTGGGTGAGTTTTTAGTTTTAAAATTAAATTAGACAAACATCAATTGCAAAAATAAGAAAAATTTTTTTGTTTAAATTTTAAAGAAGACCAATTATGGGTCCTAGAAATTTTTATGGTATGTCTGTGGGCTATCCAGACCATGTTCATTCATTTTAATGCACAAAATAATTCTCAGATAATAAAATTTCCCATTTTCTAGTTCTGCCTGCTCTGACTTCTGTTCAGAAGAGCTGTTTATGTTAATGAGCTCTGTTGGTAACACCCTCCAAAAATCTGTTGACTTTAACTCCGCCCTCCAAAGCCAGTGTTTACGTTAGCATGGCTAATAACAGCAGAAGCTCCGTTGTACAACCATATGAGAGACCCAGAGGCAGAGTCGTGGTCGCAGCTTCTTCTTTTTTCTCTCCCTCCTCTGCTCTGTGCTCACTCTGCATGCTGTTACCAGAGCAGGGAGCAGCAGTGGTCAAAATACCTCAGAAACTCAAACAAATAGGCTTTAACAAGGCTTTAATAAGTTAAACAATAGAGCTACATGAGAAAATGTGTTCATAACGAACGAAAAAAAAAGTTAATTGTGTCCAATCCGGTCTCAAACCCTGGTCCCCCACTCTCTGGTCCAACACTCTACCCATTGCCCTACTGGAGGCTTGTTGTGAAATGAGCTGTGCATTGCTCAACAACACGTGATGGCTTTTTATATTGAGGAGGAGGAGTCTCACCCAGGGGTTGCTARKTAAGGGGCTGAACGCAGGTTCCGGTGGGTTGTCGTACGGCTTGTGACGTCACAAAATGGCGGAAGTATAAAACTTGTCGTTAATATACATTAAAAATACATTTACTTACAGTAAATATGCCACTGGGTGCATTTTTTTGGTCCTAGGACTGTTTTTTAAGAAGTACATACCTAAAGTTGAGTATAAAAAGCTTTAAAAAGTGAATTTTGCATAATAGTTTCCCTTTAATGGTTAAAGCAAGGATAAGCTTTATATTTTGTTAGTGTACTGTTTGGGACCTTCTGGTGAAACTGGAAATTGTGGCCTGAACTCCTGGAGCGTTACATTTTCACTTCTCACCATGGAGTTATTTGTTTTATTTAGACGGAGTCTCATTGATATACCATGAACATGATTGCTTTAATATTCCAAGTTATGCAGAATTGGGTTTGAGCCATTCCCAAAATGTTTAGGAATGTTTTTTAGTCTTCTTCCAACTCTGCTTATTTGGCAACTTCCATCATCCCCAGTAACGCTACATAACTAAACAACCTTATATTTTATTTTAAATTTAAGTGTCTGAGTCAAAAATCTAAATAGTGTGGATTTTTAATTACTTCGATTTTTTTTTATTTTTACATTTTAGGATTTAAAAAAACAGCAAAACAGAAAAAACAAAACAAAGAATGAATACACAGATTCTCACAGCACAAGCACATTTTTATTTATTTTTTTGTGACATGATTTAAAAGGAAAATGAACAGGTGGTATAAGATTTATTGCCAAGAAGCATTGTTACAACAAAGAAATAATCTACCGAACACAAATATCTTTACTTTTTGTGCTAAGTATAGTTTTTTATCCTCCTTTTCTCCCCATTTTATTTAATTCCTTTATTTAACCAGGTAAAACCCCATTGAGATAGATCTCATTTGCAAGAAGGACCTGGGCAGAATCTGCAGTACACAACCTGGTTACACAAAAATAAATTACATTATATATAACATATTAAACTGAACCTTAATGGGCAGAAATGATAACTATTCTAAGGTCATTGCTGATGTCTTTCCTTCTCGAAAATGCATAAACACACAACTGTATGCACCAAAGTAAAATTTGTCTAAAACCTGGTAAGCCTACAATTGTTACGTAAAACTGCAGAGATGAAAGAGGGCGGACTTTCCTTTTCCATGACTACGTGAGTACTAACTGAGACTTTTTACTGCCTGGATTCAAAGCTGTGTCATTGTCTCAACACAGGAACGGGCAGACAGGAAACTTTCTGATGTAACAGGAAGTGAGTTTCCTGCAAAACCCCCCACCCCCCACCCCACTTTTCCTCTGTTCACCTCATTTAATGCTCCATCAGTTTTTACGAACAGGAAACAGGTGCTGCCTTTGTCGAGCCTTGGCTCTGCAAATTTCAGCCTATAAACATAGACACGCCTTCACACTCACAGATATGCTTACAAACAGATTTTAATCATGCTCTCTTGCTTTGCAGTTCAGCCACAACCGTACCCACAATGCAACTGTTCACAGATCTGTTCGCTCCCAACAGCCCGTTACATCTTTCTGATCAGATTATGTGGGTAAGGTTGCTCAGCCACTTGAGGGCTCATTATACAAAAAAATGAAGCAGCAAAACATGTTTGAAAAGCCACCATGTTTATGTCTCTGCATTTTTTTTTACATCAGAGAAAGTTAGGATGGTATGAAAAAATTAAATAAGAACTATACACTGATTCTTACAGAGCAGGGGCGGAGCCAGAGGGGTGGCCAGGGAGGCCAATGCCACCCCTGGCACTTGATTAGCCACCCCAGGTTCCATTCTTAAATAAATGACAAGTGGGTGGGGATCTTAGATTTTGTATTTGCACCCTTATATTGTTAAAGATTGTTTTCTGATACTGCTGCGCTTTATAAATTTTCAGCTGAGATTTATAGCCGTATATAAAATTAGCATTAGGGGTTAGCTTAATTTGGGCCTAGTATGTGATCATCCTTAGCTACTCCACAACAAATTTCATCTCAATAAGTCTTAAAATGGATGAATTATAGCTATGTAAAGTTAGCTTTGGTGGCCATCTTGAATTTTTGATTAGCATTGTTTTTGGCTACTTCAGCCTTTTATGTCCAAAAATGACTGAATGAAAAGTTGTGACTAGCATTTGTGTTTATTTATTTTTGTTTTGTTTTCAGCATTCTTAGCTATTATCATACAAAATTTCAGCTCAATAAGTTGAAGCCAGGTGGAAGTAGCTGTGGTGGCCATTTTGAATTTTCAAATCCAGAGTGCTCTTCTATATTTGTATGTCCCCGCCCCCACCCAAAAACAAAGAAAAGAAACAAAACACAAGACAAAACAAAAAAGACAAAAATACCACATTGTGCACCCCTTGCAAAATATTCCAGTTCCGCCCGTTACTGTGCAAACTAAAGATTATTTTTTTCTCTTTACCTTAAAGTTATTTTAAAAAAATACTTAATTTCCTGTTTTTAAGGCCTATAATACAGGATGTTTTGGAAAAAGTTGTAACGGTTGCATGAATATTACTTTTTATCTCTCCATTTCACCTCAAATGAAAGGCATTCTGGTTATGTGAACAGTATTGAGCTGTTTCAGGAGCTCTTTGTCTCATTCTTGATGCAAAACCATCTAAAATATCCAACACAAACTACTAACAGATTTCAGAGATTCATGTTTCCCTGTAGGAATAATATTAGGATTTTCTGGTTGGACCTGTTCCAGGTTATAATTTGGAAGTGCTACAGCTAGCTACTGCTGCTATTTTTGCTTACAAATAGATAAAGTTCTATGTAAATAGATGTGTAATGCAAATATAAATAGTGTTCATGTGAAGACTAACAGGAGTTTTTTTTAAGTCAGTACCTCACTGGGCTGCAACTGTTGGTGAGTAATTGCAAACAACATTTCTCAGTGTTACTGGCAGGAGCGTTGCAAGAAAGTTGTAATTTCTTTTCAGTTGTGTACAAATTAGACATGTGCAGAAGTACCAGTTCTGTGAGATTTTGCATGAAAATTTATATATTTTCTATCAATTTTATTTCTCCTCTAATTCAATGCTCAAGACAAAAATGTCAGATGGTGTCCCTAGTGTGATTTTGTCTTATTTTTTAATAAGGAACATCTGTTTATGTTAATTTGCAGCTGTAGAATGAAGCAGTTCTAGGGGGTCCAGGGGTATATTTTGTGAAATATCTACTCAAAACTCTTGCCATTTGTAGAGTATTTTACTAACTCTTTGGGATTAACAAATCAACATAAAATTAGTGTTTTATGAAGGTAGAACTCTGAAAACCAGACAACTGGAACTTTATCTGAGATCAGAGCTGAAACTTTTATTATCCTTATTTTGTTTTCTGTTTACACACAGCACCAGTCTTGACTGCATCATGTGATTCTTTTATCATGAAACATCCTCTGCATCATATAAACCTCATCTAGGAACAAAGCAGAACAAGTTACCTTCATAATCCAGAGTAACCAGGGATTATTACAGACTGAATCAACTAAACTCTGATAAAAAGTTATAAAATATTATTTTTGTCCCCCATTTGTGTCGCCCCCTAAATGGACGGCACCCTAAGCATTCGCCTATTTTGCCTATGCCACGGTCCGGCCCTGCTCCTTCTAAACTCCAACAGTCGTGATCCAGTGAGAGAGAAGCTTTAGTGTTGACGACGGAAAGTGTTGGACATCCATGAGGCTCGTACTTTTAATTGAAGAAATTTCTTCATTTATTTCCCAATATTTTGCGTTCTAGAGGGAGAAATATTCAAACAGCTGATCAAAGATCTCAAAGGCTCAGCCATTTGTAGATATGCTTCTTGGACCAAGTTGTTTGGAAACCGATCAGTGACTGCTTCAGTTACAGATGATTTGAAGACCAAAGTCATCTCAGGCCCAATTTGAGGCTTATGACTAAAAGACTGTAATTGTCCCTCCATGAGGCTGCTCTCACGGCGCTTTCAGCTAACCATGACGACACCAATAAGCTCAGCTTACACAAATGTCCTGATAAGTTTATACATCCTTTTTGTGCACAGGACTACCGTCAGAGGTTTCGGGCTGTGCTGGTGGAAGCTACATTGAAGCTGGACTATCTGATGACGAAGTATGGACGAGCGGTGGATGACTCCAGACCTTACTGGGAAGCCCGCAAAATGGCAAGAAAGGTACACACAAACACACACAGAGTGGGACGCTGAGGTCGGCTGACAGAGACGGTAATGGCCGGCTTAACGAGGATTAGCAACGACAAGTATGAGGAGCTCTGCGTCTATCTGCTTAAAGGGAGCAGTCACATGACGTCTATTTTTACACTCTGCCTCCTAATGTCACGTTCAAACACAACCCCTCTGTGTTGAGAGGAAGTTTGCAAATATGTGTTCTGCTTTCTGTACCCAAAACTCTTTTCTTGGGTTTTGGCACCACTGCAAGTGAGTAGAACAAGTTCCGCTGTGGTTTTCTGTCCAAACTGCATTGTTTCCCCTGCAGCGGGTTGTATTGTCTGTGTTGTAGTTCCTGTTCGTTTCTGATTGGATGCCACTTAAAGCGTAGAGTTTAGTGTGGCCCTGGTTCAGCCACTGGATCTTATGAGTCAGACTTGGGAGGTCTGACATTTGTGTGTCATAACTGTGCTGAAATAGATGGTGTATTTATAAGTGTGTGTTTGTCCTTGTTTTTCCTACATGGTGGGGCCCAGTTTTAAGGAAAACGCAGCCTCATGGGGTCCGGGTGCTCCTTGGGCCCTACAACTTCAGAGGTTCATTTTGGGTGTGAGGGTTGGGTTTAGGACCAAGATGTGAATTGAGTTTAGGTTAGTTTTAGGGTCAGGTGAGGCTGACCCTAAAACTAAGGCTAACCTGAAACTAAGACACCAACCCTAAGGCTAACCTCACAGGTTAGCCTTAGGGTTGGTGTTCAGTGTTAGGAAATAAAATTGCCAAAAAATGAATGGAAATCAATGGACGGGCCCCACAAGGATATAAAAACGTGTGTGTGTGTGTGTGTGTGTGTGTGTGTGTGTGTGTGTGTGTGT